TTCAAAATATCTGGTCTGGGACATTTTCCTTTGAATGGTCCTCATGTCCATGCCCTACTGCGGATCGTCACAAAAATTTGATCATTTCTTTATTTGACTATGAAAAACTACTAGTTTCATTTTCATCCAATTATATCTGGGATGTAAGCAATTAAATAACCTTAAATTTACACCCTAACCTGGATCGTCCCTAACACTATTTTCCTTTTAACTTTCCAGAAAGTTTCATTTAAATCAGTTGATCCGTTAGTGTGAAATATCTAGTCTGGGATGTTTTCATTTGAATGGTCCTCATATCCACACCCTATTCTGGATTGTCACAAACATTTAATCATTTCTTTACTAGACCTTGACAAACTGTTATACAAAGTTTCAATCATACCCATTGATATTTACTGTAGGTCTGGGACCTGACAAAAAAATGACCCTCAAATTTACAACCTAAACTAGATCGTCTCCTAATACATAATTTCTTCCTTGTAACTTGGTTACTTTTCCGAAAGTTTCATTCAAAGATCAATTGACCCGTTTTTGAAATATCTGGTGTAGACTGTTTGCCCTTAAATCTTGGTCCACACATCCACACCCCACTTTGTAGATTGACACTAAATATTAGGAGGCACATCCTTGATATATTGTCTATACTTCGACAAATCATGGAAAAGTTCAAGCATGGGAAGTAATCGAAGTCCAGGGGGGAAAAACCCAGTGCAAAAAGATAGGGAAAAAAATCAGAATAAAAACAATGGCTTTTCCAGCTACTGCTGGGAAAAGGCAATAATGATAAATAATAATAATAATAATAATAACAACAACAGGACTCAGTAGAGAGCATATCTGCCCACCACCAATCCATAAAATAAATCCTCAAAAATATGTTTCTAATTTCCAACCACCATCTACTTAAAAAAATTACACTAACACAAAATTTAGCTTTGCGATATTTGATCTGGACATTTTGCTTTGAATGGTCCTATAATGACATCAAAATTTAAGCATTTTTCAAACACTGTTCATTGTGTCAGTTGTACACCTGCCTATTCCTTACATCTTCTGGCTTAACACACTGGCACGTTTTACTCTTACTGTATAGCTGACCAAAAAAATACCTGCCATGTATTGGTGTTGAAATGAAAATATTATGCAAATAGAAATATGAGGATTTGGTTTTTAGCGTCACATGTTTAAGTGTAAAGATGCATTAAAATTATTCCTAATCAGTTCAGAAAAAAGTGAAGTTGTTAAACGCTGTATACCTTTACTGTAATTGCACTAATTTAAACATTCATTAGCTATTGTTTCTGCCTACGGTATATGGTAAACCTAATTTTTAAATTGTCCTCATATCCACACTGTACTGTGGATGGTCACCAAAATTAAAACATTTTTTCATCGAAACATGACAAATTATTGTGGAAAGTGAAATTTAGATCTGTTGATTATTCTTTAAGATGTTTAGGTCTTGGACATTTTAAATGAGACTCAAATTTAAACCCAAATTTGGATCGTCATCAATGCTTAATAATATATTCCTTGTAACTTGGTTAAACTTTCATTCATATCAGTTGATTAGCTTTCAAAATATCTTGTCTAGAACGTTTGCTCTAAAATCTTTTAATTGGTCCTCACATCCACACCCTACTCTGAACAATCACCAAAATTTAATCATTTCTTCATTGAGTTACAGTATACCTCACTCCCTGTTATTTTCAATTATGTCTGTGCAGCCTTTTCTTAAGATATGTCGCACACAAAAAAAAAAAAAACATGCAAAACACGAAGATGTCACACACACACACACACACACACAAGCTTTACATGACTTAAAACATATATCTCATGGCGGAGATAATAATGTGGTTTGTACAGTATAGTGCACATATCCACTGTAAGTGCTCAAGGCACTGTTAGCTAACAGAAGCTAGTCTGTCTCTAATTGTAATATCATTATTATCAAAATGAATTAATTTTTGTTAATTACAGATTAATTAGGAAAATATTGCAATAAAATAATAAAATGTGTGATACCTGTATGCTCTGATTAAAACAGGATAATTAAAATATACATTTAGGGAGAATAAAATAAATTATTAATTATAATTAATAATTTATTCATTTTCTAAATAGCAACAGCAAAGTTTTTAAAATCCTCATTAATATAATAATTTAATAATAAATATCAAACCCAATGAATTTTACAACAATATTAATTTTCTCTTAATTAATGGACAAACTTACAAATAAATAATTTAGAAAATATTCAAAATTTAACAATTTAAATGTTATTTATTGTATATATAATAGATTTACAGGTAGTCTATTTGGTAATAAATTATCTGCTAATAAACACAATTTGAATTTATTTGGGCAATCCTAATTTAGGCTTTCAACTCGTAATGAGTAATTCGTAAAAATCTGATACTGGTACGGGCTTTTATGATGCACCTTTATCCTTTATATTAGAAGTAATTGGTATCAAAGTCCAAACAAACTGAATTCAAAATTTATTCTGTACTGAATGTTCTTTCCTCGGTATAAAGTACCCAAAGCGCCTAAAATAATCTATGTTAAACCTGTAGCCAAAACATTAATATATATATAATATCGATTTTTAGTTATTAATACGTGGTTAAACAGTAAAATGAGAACTATAAAATGGTATAAGAATCATTTAAGTCCGACATTTCGTTATCAAGTTACAGGAGTTTGTACAAAGCTGTTTCAAAACCAGTATTTGAGAAATCAGCCTTCAAATATTAAGATTTTAGGCATTACTTTGTAGGCAGAAACCATCACCAAATCATTAAAAATTGTTGTTAGCGTTCAAAATTGGGAAAATAACAGCATAGCATTACAGTATGTATTAAAATAGTTTTAGATAGTACAATAAAATAGATTTCCCAAACCTTTACATTCGAGCATGTTTTGGCCATTATCTCTAAAACAGGATTTGTGACGAGTGACTGATTTGGCTTGTCTTTGCCACATATGTCTACACTCACTGCAAAAGACAATACAAGCATAATTTTTCTATTGAAGGCTCACTATCCTAAAGCCGGCATACTGTCACTATATGTTAATTTAAACTGAGAAAACTGATAAGTAATGTGGCAGTATTGTATACTTTAGTTCAGAGCTGTAATACTTTTACTCATAACTTTGGCAATAGTATAGATTTCAGCAACTGACCTATCATTTTAAAGTGTATAAATAATAATGATAATAATATATTTTAATAATAATAATAATAATTATATATTTTAATAATAATAATTATAATAATAATAATAATATTAATAATAACAAAAGCACTATATAGAGAGCATATCTCCGCCCACTGTAAATACTTTTCTCAAAAATAAATCCCTAAAAAATGTTCCTACTTTCGAACCACCAACCACCATCTACTTTAAAAAATTGCACTTAAACACGAAAGTTGCATTCAGATCAGTTGATTAGTTTTTTGGGAAATCTTATCTGGGACATTTTGCTTTGAGTAGTTCATATATTGACATCCACACCAAAATTTAATCATTCAATTTTTCAAATGCCTTTTATTGTATCAGTTGTACACCTGCCAATGCCTTACATCTTCTGGCTTTAACACACTGGAACGTCACACTCTTATATCTCACAAAAAAATACATGCCCCATGTATTAGTGTTCAAATGGAAATATTATGCTAATATAAATATGGGGGTTTGGTTTTTAGCGTCACATTGTATAGATGTATTAAAAATAATTCCCAATCAGTTCCAAAAAAAGTGAAGTTAGTACAGTAATATAAAATGCTGTACAGCTTTACTGTAATTGCACTAATTTAGATATCCATCATTTAACTATTGTTTATGCCTACAGTCATACATTAAATCTATTTTTTAATTGGTCCTAGAGATATTTAGGTGTGGCACCTGGCCTCCATGTACACCCGACTTTGGATCGTCACCAACAATTCAAATTTATTGTCCTTGTAACTTGATTAAACTTTCACAAAAGTTTCATTCAGATCATTTTATTAGTTTTTAAAGTACAGTATCTGGTCTGGGACTTTTTCATTTGAATGGTCCTCATATCCATACATTTTTAGCCCACTCTCTGAGAGAGAGGACTTATATGATGATTCTGAGCGAATTTTGAAGTCATCTCGGTAGGAATAACTCGTGAGATGGCTCAGTTACAATTTGCTACTTTTTGTTAAATTTATCTTCACGTGTGAATATAGTATTACTGTGATAAGAATGCCAAAAATTAACCTGATCATTTTCAAGAAGGGAAAACCTTGAATTTTGAAGAACTTCAAATTAAAGTCACTTCAGAAGTCGTGAAAGCTCATTTCCCGCCATTTAGAAATCAACACTTATCCAGGGAGAACCTGAATCCCCCTTTCATGTTGGGGTTCATTGATTCATAGAATCGTTTTCAAGAGGGGGATACCTTGAATTTTGGAGTATATAAAAGTCATTAAAAGACGGGAAAAACTCATTTCCTGCCATCTAGGAGTCAAAATTTTGCAGGGTGGAAACCCCCAGATCAACCTTTCTCTTGGGGGTTTATGGATTCATGGAAAAAAATAAATATGCAACTACTCAATTCCTTTATGTATGTATACACACATAGCAGGCCTTTAATATAATAAGAATGAGAACATTAAGAACCGTTTTTAAGAGAGCTCCAGTCTCTAGGAATCAAAATTTGTGGATCCTCGGACTGCCTTCTTTTTTGGGGGTCTTGGGAAAAATTCTGACCCCCACCTCCCTACATTTGAAGCCAGATCCCCTGATTCATATTTTCATCCATTTTACTAGTTGGGGCCCCCCTCTCACTTTGAAAATGTTCCACCAGCCCTGCATTCTCAACCAATAACAGTTCTTTCCAGAAATTAAAATTTAATTATTTGACCAAATTTATATATTTTTTTTAATTAACAATTAAATATGATATTTATGGTGCATTTGTATTTTCTCATCCTAAATCTAATTAGTGCAATTTATTTTACTATAGAAATTTTGAAGAAAATTTAGACATGGCACCTCTGCAACAAGTGGACCAGCCCTGCTTGGCTGAATGGCGAATTTTGCTTCCTCTATTGAATGGTAAGTGTGCTAGAAAAACTTTTTCATATTGAAAATTTCATGTCCATTGTAAATTGTATGTCCATTGCAAATTGCTTTGTGGGATAAATAAATGCTAACACTGATTTCAGATATGATACTTGTTTCTGAAATTATCTGAAATAACTTTAAATTGTTGTATAAATTTGCGTAAATGTTACAATTAAAAATAACTTTTAATATTTTCCCTTTCCACTGGACTTATAAATTGTATAAATTTGCGTAAATTTTAAATTAAAAATAACTTTAAATATTTTCCCTTTCCACTGGACTTACAAATTGTTGTATAAACTTGTGTAAATGTTTCAATTAAAAATAACTTTAAATATTTTCCCTTTCCACTGGACTTGTAAATTGTATAAATTTGCGTAAATGTTTCAATGAAAAATAACTTTAAATATTTTCCCTTGCCACTGGACTTGTAAATTGTTGTATTTAAAATTTGCATAAATGTTTCAATGAAAAATAACTTTAAATATTTTCACTTTCCACTGGACTTATAAATCGTTGTATAAATTTGCGTAAATGTTTCTATAACTTTAAATATTTTCACTTTACACTGGACTTATAAATGTTTTCCTTTTCCACTCTATAGCTTATTGCTCTAATTTCTTATTCTTTCAGAATGTGGCAACCGGCGATTTGGCAATTGAAGCTTTCTATTTCAAATAAAGATTCTTTGGAATTTAGTATCGTATTGGAAATATTTTGAAATAAATATTCATTGTAATTTAGTATTGAGTATTTTGAATAAATAAATATTCATTGTATTCAGTTAAGTATTGAGTATTATTTTCTTCTCAAGCATTGTGGAAAAGCAGGATGGCAAAAAAAAAAAGCGCCCTCGAATAGAAAAAGGCCCTAAATATGACTAAGTTATTTGGCCACAATAATCTGTCCGGTTCTGATAAAAATAGTGAAGAAAATCGCCCTAAATAGCCATTTTAATTTAAAGTTTTTTAGGGCGTCTTAATTGTCAATGGCAGTAAGCGTCCTCTAACACCCAAGTTTTTCAGAATAGCATAAAAACTGACTATTAGAGGGCACTATAACCTTATTAATTAAATTAATGACAAATAAGAGACCACCAAAAAACGTTGAACTAAAATGGCTATAGAGGGCGGTTTTCAGCACCACACAGGACCCCTTTAAATAATTTAAGAGACCCTGGAAATTTTGGCTTTCTATTGCAGGGTGCCCTTCAGCACCACTTTTAATAGAAATTGAGGGACATGGGAAAAATTAGCCTTTTTCTATTGGAGGGCGCTTTTTCATCTTACCTGCATCCATCAGCCATCAGTCTTCAAACTTGAACAGCAAAGAAACATCAAAACACTATTGATTTTTTGTTTTATTATCTTCATAACGTAATGTAAATTAGGCATCAACAGTTCATTATATGGAAAGTTAGAATGCAAGTTATAGTAGTTTTCTGGTTCTCTTGGTATTAGTCAGGTCATATCTTCTGTACAATAAAATCAGTTTTTCATAATGAAGCAATTGTTGTCTTGATGCTGCAACAACTTACCTGCATCCACCAGTCTTCAAACTTGAACAGCAAAGAAAAGTCAACACACTACTTAAATTTTTTATTATCTTCATAACCAAAATCACATATTGTAAATTATTAGGCATCAACAATTCATTATATAGAAAGTTAAAATACTCTGCTTGTAATCATAGTAGTTTTCTGGTTCTCTGGTCTGATTGTAATTAGCCAGTTTATATCTTCTGTACAATATACTCAGTTTTTTCAGAATTAAGCAATTGTTGTCTTGATACGCCAACAAATAATACAACTGCTTTCACCAGGATTACGGCATCACAATATTCAGCAAGATGTTAGCAAAACTTCTGTTTTGTATGGCATGACAAATTAAATTAACTAAATTAAATTAAATTGCCTATATTAGACAAAATTAATAGGTTTCTTTTCCTTGTCTTCCTCCGCAGCAGTACTTTTCCTGTCTTGCAACTGTGTTGCTACATCCACCAAAAATAGATACTAAAAAAAAAAAAATTAGACACAAACACAAATTAAAATTAAAGAACAACAATAAAGTTAATAATTTCATAAAGCTTCAGTATATTTCACTTAATACTTACAGTTATTATTAATTCTTTGATGTATACTTATCTTGCAGAGAGTTGTTTGCAAAAAAAAAAAAAAAAAAAATACAGATATTGTTTTTGTATTCTCACTGACTTCCACAAATACTGATTTGGGAAAGTGCAAGCTCAGTGTTGTAGTGGTTAAGCACCAGGTTAGTTATCTGGTGTGTAAATACCATTTCCATGTACCAGTGAGTACTGTAATGACATTCAATGCTGTTTTTCATGTTAGGAATGTTTTAGTTTATCATACTGAATGCTCAGCATGTTCCATGATACTTGCAAATAAAGTCATTTGGGTAGGAATTGAACAACTGAGCTTATGCTATAGTGGCTTTGTGTTGAATCTGATTTAAGCAGAAGAAATCTTGCAAGAGGCCGATTTCCAAGTAGCATCAAGTAGGCCTACTGTGATCCTTTTCAATTGTTTTATTTTTTTTTCAAACACCATCAAATATAATTCTCACAAACAGTATTGTATTTCCCCATCAATATGCACCCTTGTCAAACAGGCATGATTCCATATTCTTTGACACTTTAACATTGACTGGATGCTCCTTTACTAGGATTATCGCACTATTCAGCGAATGTTCTAAGAAACTTCAGTACACTTTTCACGACTTGCCGCATGGGTCATTTTCTGTTTTCGTCTACCAAAAAAAAAAAAGAACAAGAAACAGTAAGGTTGAGACATGATCATTTTAAGGAACGAAGAAATTATATCATCAGTCGGAAGATTCTATGGACTTGCTTTATTTTTGTTTTTATTTTATGGGGTAGAAATAGGGAAGGTCCACCACTACAGTTAAGCATTATCTCAGAACTCCATGGCCGTTTTACGTAGGACATGGCTGGCACAACCGGGGGACTGGGCCCCCCCACTTTTTGGCAGAAAATATATAATGTCTATGGAGATTTTTGTATGATCAGAAAGAAATGCAAGAAAAGAAAAAGGAAAGAAGGAGGAGATCGAGCGGAAAGAGAGGGTTTATCCAGTCCCCAACCGAGTTACATTTTCTTGCAATTCACATTGGCGGATCTGGGGTCAGGGGTCTTGATCCCTGTCCCTTAGTCAAAAAATAAAAAATAAATAAAAACTTCTAGGTCTACTTTATCAGTACCCGAGAGCTGTTAGGAAAGCTCATTTCCCGCCATCTAGGAATCAAAATTTTCTAAAGGGGGGTGGGGGGAGAGGGGGACCCCCGACACTTTTTTTATTTTTTAGGTTTATCAATTCATGGAAAAAAGAATATGTATGCAACGTACGTATACCGATACATACATGACTATTTTATCTTTTAAAAACTCTTAATTCTCAGTTATTTGTATTGTATATATATATTTAGGAATTTTTATGTTACTTGCATTGCTTTTCAATTTTTGTTTAATTATGCAGCTGTACGACTTTGAAAAACAGTTCACAAGTACTGAAAGTGCAGTAAAAAGACAGAATAAATAAATAAAATATCCTTGTACTATAAAAATAAGAAAATATTTATTAGTCTAACATGATTTTGCAAATTAATTTTCATCAGCGTGTACACGTATATAAAATGCACAGGCTTGTCTAATCACATCAAAAATCCTTTTCGAAACAAGCCGCGTTCATCTGCCCGAGTCTATTTCCACCATGCCATGCACACCTACAATGAAACTGACTCATATTGTTTGATAACGGAACTTAAAAGTCTAAAAGAAAAAATACAAAATGCAATTGTTTTATTTTAACACATACAATACATAGGCCTACTTCGTTTTGTTGATACGTACATCACAAATATACCCCATAATCATAAAACAATGGCGTTTTTTTTTGCTAAAATACAGCTTGTCCACAATATCCATCGTCAACTCATGTCAATCGGTTCTCTGGAATTCACAATCTGCTACAAAGGTGGGTGCATCCAGGATATTAGGTGAAAATGGCCACAAGAATTACTAAAGTTTAATTATTGGAATAAACAATCTTTATCCAAGGGTATAAATAGAGATTATATATTTGCTTTTCCACATTGGCGTGTACTAATATACACAGACACATACGAAAGGCATCAAAATTATATAAAAACATTAAAAAGGATATTGACTGAGAAAACATTTAAGGTTAAAAACACAGAAAAGTACAAAAAGCAACTTATTTCCATCGTGGTCCCTAAATGAGAATACTAAAATACCAGAAAAATAATAATAGAACTATAAATATGGAAACAATACAATAAATACATTTTAAATACTACAGAAAATTCAAATTTGAAACATCATCAACTATTTCAACTATATTGTATTATGCAGTTCAGATATATAATGGTCCTTTATGAGTTCCTAACAGTACCATTATTAAGACACAGGGTTTTTTTCATCTTGCCAGTCAGTTGTCCCGGTAATACAAAACAAATTAGTTACCACCACACCATGTCATCACTGTCATGGAGAACAGAAACTGGATGCGAGCCAACAGTACCTGTGGAAACTGGCATTCTCTTAGTAAAATGTACAAGCTGCACTAATAATAGAAAGAAAATTCCCACATGTAGGCGTTACCTGACTACCCTCTTCATCTATGCAGCAGCAGTCATCTAATGATGCTCCTTTCCTTTCAACCATGCAAGCACTTATATCTGGTTTATATTTATCCACTTCCTACCTTCTTCACGGAAAGTAGATTTCGGTTGACATGTCTTGGAATAAGATAAGCCGGCACATTTGTCTACTGCCTGCAGTTTCTGGCAACGTGTCCAACTTGACTCCTATAACAATTATTATTGGATTAGACAATATTAAAAATTGACAATTTCTTTCCAATACCTACTATACTTGATGACACAAATAACAAGTTACAGGAGTGGGTTAGCTTACCATTTGAGATGGGAATGGAGCTCTCACACTAGGGTTTACTGGTTTTGTGGTTGCATTTAGTTCGGGTTTTAAAACAGTGCCTACTCACGCCCACATCCATCTGTAAACTGTTCTCGTAGCAAAATGTCATAACTTGTCTGCATCTGCTAATTCTATCCATCTAGTCAAAACATCTTTCAAATTGCTGCAAATTAATGCCCACTTTCTCCAGCCTGAGGTCTTGCAAGATGTAGATGTCGAGACCCATCATGTCAACTGGAAATGCTTTATAGAGCAGTTTAAGTCATCTGTAATCATTTGCTTCGGCTGTAGATAACCTAAAATAAATTTAAAAGAGATTTTCCTGTTAATAAAGAACTTAATTTACTGCCAAATCACGTGGTATACCTTTCATATCGTTTTAAATAAGAATCCAGATCATTCTTACCTTCATTAAATGCTGGTAATTTAGATCTACTTGCCTTAACTTTGGATGATCCAGTTTCGGGGACAGGTAATATTCTGTCCGACTTAGGTTTGTTCTTTTCATCAGTGTTCTTGTATAGTATTATTTCCTGGACGAGTAGTCCCCAAATATGTCACACAGGCTTTAAGAAGCTATCTGACAAAGGTCCGAACATACTCAAGGGGCACAAACGTTCACAACACAAATAATTATCAAAAATGTTTACTGATATATTTCTGTGAAAGTGCACCCACCAGCCTAGCGTTGGGGAATCAAGTGGTGCCGATGAAGATAACACTATCCTAGGGGGTCCATTTTTTGCGATCAATGTTTTCTTTTTTTCTTTATTTTTTATTT